TGAACTTTAGAGTTGATGCTGGAATGAGTTAAGACTTTGGAGACCATTGGGGTATAATTTGCTTTCAAGAAGGACATGGATAGGGGAGGGGCAGAATGTTAGGGACTAAATGTTTGTGTCTATTTCCAAATTCATATGTTGAAATCCTAAGCCCCATATGATGGTATTAGAAGGTAGTGCCTTTTGGGGCGCCTGGGAGACTCAGTTGGTTGAGCGATCGACTTCAGCTCAGGTCACGATCTCACCATTCGTGAGTTCAAGGCCCACGTAGGGCTCTGTGCTGACAGCTCAGAGCCTGGAGCCTGCTTCAGATTCTGTGAGTTCCTCTCTCTCTGCCCCTCCCCCACTCATGCTCTGTCTCTGTCAGAAATAAACATTAAAAAAATTTAAAAAAAAAAGAAGGTAGTGCCTTTCGGAGGTAGCTAGTATAGCTCTCATGAATAGAATTCATGCTCTTATAAGATACCTCAGAGAGTCTCTCACTTCTTTCCCATATGAGCATGCAGCAAGAATTTGGCCACCTATGAACCAGGAAATGGGCCCTTACCAGACACTGAATCTGTTAGCGCCTTGATCTTGGACTTCCCAGTCTCCAAAACTGTGAAAAATACATTTTTGTTGTTTAAGCTACCTGGTCTGTATATTTCATTATAGCGGCCTGAATAGATTAAGACACTGGATAAATACTGGATAAAAATATTTCAAAAGGAAAGAGAGATACCAAAAGAAATCTTGCTCATTATTAGTAGATTTAAAAAAAATAGGGGGCTTTTTATGGTTAAAAAAGTGATTGGGGTAAAAAAGATTGCAAATAGTATATAGTTTAATACTATGTGAATCAATATTGAGGAAAATGGATAGGGGAGAAGGCAATTTTAAAAGTATATAGAGTCTAGAAAGGCGAAGAGTTTATAACATTTTCTCTTATTTCAAATTTAATTTTTCTTAAAAATAGTTTTTTTTAGCGTTTATTTATTATTGAGAGACAGAGAGAGACAGAGCATGAGCAGGGGAGGGGCAGGGGGAGACACAGAATCTGAAGCGGGTTTCAGGCTCTGAGCAGTCAGCACAGAGTCCGACACGGGGCTCGAACTCACAAACTGCGAGATCGTGACCTGAACCAAAGTTGGACGCTTAACCGACGGAGCCACCCAGGAGCCCCTCTTATTTCAAATTTTAGATTTGAAGCCCAAAGTACCTGTGAAAGAAGGACCTGATTCAGTCCTAACCAATGAATGAATGCCTGTTCCCAGATTTAGCAGTAGCTATTAGAAGCTTAAATACAACTTTTTTTGTTTATTTGCAGCTCAGTTATTTCAGTATGAGGAGAAGGAAAGAAATATTAAAATAATGAAGCAGGGAGAGGAGGGCAGGAAGGAATAAAAATTGAACAGTGGGCCTAATAGTGATCCCTGGTCCGCAAGACTTAACCTGCCAGGAGCAAGCAACCAACAGTTGCTTTCATTTGATATATAATTTTTTTTTTTTTTTTACCCCAGCGACATGAATCGATACTGTTAGAACTCCTCAAGAAATATTTTTTGCTGATTTTATTCTTAGTGTGAGAAGAGAATATGCAATTGGGGAAAGAAAGAAATAGATGAGCAAGTATGGTAATAATGTTTCATTGAAGCCAAGGATAAAATATTTATAAAACTGAAATGTCAAAGGAAAAACTTAAGAGTCAGACATAAGAGTATTAACTTACTGCTTCAAGATAAGGTTCAGATTTCTATTTTAAAACTTTGAAGGAGAAATATTTTCATCTTGTCTGAGTGGTTCTGTGTCACATTTTAATAGAAAAATAATTACATTCTGAAAATGCTTGTAAAGTATAGAGATTTTATGCAATAGGGGCAAGACATAAATGTCTTAAATCGGAGAGAAGTTTTCCTTTTTTGGTCCTAAGTAATTGTCCTCTTATAGACAATATCATTGGAAACCTTGGAAACCATAGACTGGCAGTATAGCTTTTGAAAAAGTGAGCACTAAATTGCCAATAATAAAAAAAAAGCATTGATTTTTTTTTTTTTACGTTGAAAGGTGTTTTGTCTCCTTTGTTTGGCCATGGCTGGGAGAAGGTACAAAACAGTTTGGACTGATAACAAAATCACTAATTGCTGCACTAATTAATAGAGGTGTGCCAGAGAATTGAGAATACAGCTACCAGGCTACATTTCCTTAGGAAGCCTTTATAATTGATAGAGATGAAGTTTGGAATAAGGGCTACATTTAGTCTCTTGTTGTGCTTTGTTCCACTGCTCTGCATCTAAATCAGTCCAGACAAAAAGAGGGTGCCTTCCTGAGTTAGCTAGAACACCGTGTCCTTCCTATCAGTTCTCTCACTGTGTTTAAAGCTGTCGAAATCAGCTTTGAGCTGGTAGCCTAGGTTTGAAGAGGTCTCTTCCTGCAGCCTGTTCAACAGCGTGATGGGCGTTAAGATCCATTTGTATCATGGGCATGGGCGTCCAATCAGCATTTTGAAAAGTCATTAAATTAATTGCATTATTATTTTTTAATGTGCCCAGCAGTACTGAGTTAGATGCATTTTGATTTTTAAAAACGAAATAGGGTGATTCTTTCTGTCCTTCTTACAATGGTAGCTGGTCAGAATATAGGCGGCCATGTGGTGGTCTCAGAGAAAGGGACTCAAACTTCAAAATAAGAAATGCAACTGAAAACCAACTCTCGCAAGCAAGAGATCATCAAAGAAAGTTCAAGGTAGGGTGTTTTCCTAAAGCCGTATGACTCCTAAAGTAAAAAAGCTTGGAAAATGATAATAAGAGTTCTTAGAAATGGCCCCATTTTCTACTCTGCTTACAGCTTGTACCTGTTGGCAGAGGATATCAGGTGGCCTCATTCTAGCTTATTTCAACTTCACCTAATGGCATTACTTACTTGGTTTTTAGGGATCACATTCCATTTTCAGATCACTTTCCTCACCTTAACTAATTGCCATTACACAGGGTCATCCTGACAGCACACCCACGAGAACAGAACAGGGATCAATGGCAGTTCGCTTAACGCCTTTTTTATGACTAAGTGGCAAAGAGCGGAAGCATGGAAAGTGAACATCTTAATGGACAGACATGATCAAGTTGTCTTTTTTCCCCCTGAAAATAGCATCTAAAAGTAATTTAAAAAGTATTTTCCTCCACCAATCTTGAAACTCATTGAGAATATTAAAAACAAATCATTTATTTTATCAGCTCACCCCATTCCCTAGCTTGATATTTTAAAAACTTTTCCATCATAAGCTATCATTTCCTTTGCTGTCTTCAAGAAGGGAGGAAAACATTTTTATTTATCAGATAATTTGATTTTGAGGAAATGGCTTTACCCTCACCTTTTACTTGGGCATTCTCAGGAGCTCTGGCATTCCACAGTCTAATCAGATTCAAGTTATATCTTGGTCTAGAAATAAAGTGTGAATTGTTAAGCCTCCGATATGTAACACTACAGGCCCATAAATGTCACTTGGTAGCCTGCAGATTCAAATCTAAAAGCAGTCCTTCGAATACCAGAGCAGAACGTACTTTTTTATATGTTTTTTCTTTATAGCCTCAAAACTGAAGATGATAGTTCAATGTAATGTGGGAACACAAGACAAAGTAATCTTCTGCACAGAAATACTTTATTTTGATTGTACCGTAATGACATCGTGAAATTTCCATGGATTTGAAGATACAGCGTTTGTTATATACTCTAGATCAGATAGTATTGCTTCACTGAGTCAAGTTACAGTAACCCTTAGCATTTTCTGTAAACAAAAGGAATATTTTAAGTGAGGTTGCTTCCTAATGAGATGTCATCAGACTTAGACTGTTGGTACTTCCTGTAAAGAAGCAGCAGTGGTATAGCGGGTGCTCAGGGACCTTTATTGTCCTGACATGAATTGCTCCCTAGTGAGGTTCACCTTTGTAGAAGCTGATCACTTCTTTTTTTTTAAATTTGTAATGCTTATTTACTTGAAGAGAGAAAGCCCATGCATGCACACGTGCGCATGTACACACGTGCGCGCGCGGGCGCGCGCGCACACACACACACACACACACACACACACACACACACACGAGTGGGTGAGGGGCAGAGAGAGGGAGAGAGAGAATCCCAAGCAGTCTCCATGCTGTCAGCACAGAGCCTCAATGGGACTTGATCTCAGGAACCATGAGATCATGACCTGAGCTGAAATCCAGGGTCACATGCTTAACCGAAAGAGCCACCCAGGCGCCCCAGGAACTGATCCCTTCTTAGGTTTGTTCTCCCTTCCTTCTTCTCTCTTTTCTTTCTCTCTCTTTTTCCTTTTTTGAAGGAAAGACAGGGAGAGAAAATGATGGAGAGGAAACAAGGAGGAGATAAGAATACTGTTCCTGGAGGAACAGGCTATTTGCTTTTTGGAGCCTGGGAGTCTGACAGGTCCTCCTGGCAAGAGGCAGCAAGATCCTTGCTTGGGGAATGGGATTTTGTTCCACGGTATCTGGTGCTGTGTCCCTGAGGACATAGGAACAGCCATTTTACCCAAGTCCCTGGCTGTGTTTGTGCCAGACGTTGAGCCCTGTCTAGGTCCAGTCATGACTTAAACGAACCATGGTTTGGGCACGGTTTGGACCTTGGAGAGCAGCAGAGGGTGTCTAAGCTTCTGTTTGCCTGCTTCAGATCCAGGAGGAAGAACCCAGGAATCTGGCCAATCACTCATCTTAAGACTCCAGAATCCCATATGATTATTGTGATTATGTTGTTTCCTGCCATGTGTGCCAACTTAAAAAAATTTTTTCAAGGTATCCTTAGATTGGGTAAAAGGTCAGAATGCAGACTTTGCTGTAACTTCCCACTGTAAATTGTGTAGTGGAGCGGGGAGGCATTAATGAGGTATTTTCTATGTATTGGGTTGTGTCCTCATAACCTGGGTTTAATTTTTGACTTTAGGTATTAAAACCGTTGAATTTTGCTCACGTTTTGTGAGAAACCAACTAAAGATCCATTTCTTTTTTTTTAATCAGTTACTTACAGTGCATCTTTAGATGCTATCATTTCCAGTACAACCAACAATACAAACACTGTGGTGCTGGCTTGGAGAGAGAAATCAAAAAAGCCTCTTAAAATGACATCCTTCAATGTTGCCGAGGGCATTCATGCTTTTGATTACCACTCTCGGCTCAATTTAATTGGTATGTAAAATAAATCATGGTAACTCGGAGGGCCTCATAAATAGTCTGGGATGTGTATTTGTATGCATGGGGCCTCTCCACCTTCTTGCTTTATTGCCAGAGAGACCAAGTTGAACAGCTCACATTTTATCGCCTGAGAATGTCTGATAATGATGCATTATGATGTGCGGCATGTATGAACTACATTGGGGTGGAAATATGAGAAAGGGCCCCAATGCTTGAATTAGCGTTTTTATTAGAATTTGGGGGAGTTGTGAGATGATACAGAGAAAGAAGATGGTTTTGGTGCTGTGTCTGCTATTCTGCCATCTTTCTAACACCACCAAATGCTCAACCTCCTGCTGCTGCTGTTGCGGCTGCTGCTACTACTACCACCACCACCACCGCTGCTGCTACTACGGCTACCACTACTACTATTACTACTACCACCACAACTACTACCACCACCACTACTACTACCACTACTACAATTATTACTACCACCACCACACTACTACTACTACAACCACCACCACTACAACTACCACGGCCACTACTACCACCACCACCACCACCACTACTACTACTACCACACTACTACCACTACTACTACTACTACAACCACCACCACTACTACAACTACTACCACTACCACCACCACCACTGCTGCTACTACAGCTACCACTACTACTATTACTACTACCACCACCACACTACTACTATTACAAGCACCACCACTGCTACTACTAGTACTATCAACACTACTACAACCACTACTACTACTACCGCTACCACTACTATTATTACTACTATCACCACTACTACTACCACCACCACTGCTACTACTACTACTACCACAACTACCACCACCACCACTACTACTACTACTACAACCACCACCACTACAACTACTATGGCCACTACTACCACCACCACCACCACACTACTATTACTACTACCACAACTACCACCACCACTACTACCACCACCACCACCACTACTACCACTACTACTACTACTACTACTACAACCACCACCACTACTATAACTACTACCACTACCACCACCACGCTACTAGTACTACAACCACCACCACTGCTACTACTACCACTACCACTACTACAACCACCACCACCACCACTACTACCACTACTACTACTACAACTACTACCACTACCACCACCACCACTACTACTGCCACTACTCCAATTACTACTACTACCACTACTATGACTATGACTACTACTACTACTACGGCTGCTGCTGCTGCTTCTATAGCCACAACACACCTACACCAGAACTATGAAATAGAGAAGGTTTTCACTGTTCAGAATGCAACCCCCACTGCTTTTTGAACATTTTCAGATTACCCTAGTTTTAGTTTAAAATGAGAGTTCTTTTTTTGCTATGAAAGAGTATATTTTAGCTGAGGAAATAAGCTATAAAGTTTTGGGCACTAACTATTTAAATTATGTGATGTTTTGAAAGCTGATGATTTTATATGGTATATACATTAGTTCAAACACTATGAAAAAGTGAGGCACTAAAACTTAATAGAGTAGTTGTAGAGAATGGCCATACATGGCCTTTGGAATGGGTCATATTAATAACCCTCATTTAACATTATCACTCACATGAAGAGTATTGGTATCAGCTAGGAGGCTGAGTCTCTAAAATCCCTAATAATCATGGCTGACAATCACAGTAAAAGATACCTTGAATAAAAAAAAAAAAAAAAAAAAAGATACCTTGAATAGAAACTCAGGAATATGCCAATATTCACCTTTCAAAGAGAATTGTAGATCTATCTGATAAGGTTGGGTTAGCGAATTGAGTTTGGAAGGATGCAAATATCAACTATTTCATTGATTCATCGATTGATTATTTCAATCCTACACACTGTCAGCACTACCTGGCATAGTGCTGGAAAGAGAACAGTGAATAAGTTCAGCTCTACAGTCGGCCCCAAAGAAGAGAAAAACAAAGAGTGCTCTACTGAGTTTCCACAGACCAGAAACACCACTGTTCCGCATGCTCTTGATGTGCTCCCTGAATAAAACCAATTCATGTTCAAAAATATCTTGTTCTCTCAATAGAGCAGGTCAAAAATATAATTCTGCTGTTTGTGTGCTTGTAAATATTCAATTGTTTATATGGCAGTGGAAATAATTTGTTTCTATATCTTTTTCATTGATTTGAAAACTTTAAATATCGGTTTAGTTCTTTCTTACTCCTGGGATAACTGACTGTAACTTGGTGTATATTCCTAGGCTGTGCTAGCAGTAGAAGGAAAGCATGAGGACTGAGAAGCAGGATTTTGTGGCCTCCTGGCTGGGCCATTGGCTGCCTCCTAAATGGGACTCTCTTGTCCTGTGGCCCCATGAATACTCCTTCCTCATGTCTCCTTCCATTTCCACCATTTCCGGTAATAGAACTCAGGCCCGTTAGTTTGCCATGATCTTCCTTTCTTCCAGGCAGGGTGCATTAGTGCTCAGAAAGCATTTAAGAACCTGCAGATGTGCGACATGCACTCATTTCAAAAAGAAAATGTTATGGGTTATTCATGTACTAAAAGCATTTTTTTTTCCTTTCTAATTCTGGTTAGCAACTGCTGGCATCAACAATAAAGTTTGCCTTTGGAACCCCTATGTTGTCTCTAAACCGGTTGGTGTCCTCTGGGGTCACTCAGCCAGCGTAATAGCTGTCCAATTCTTTGCTGCAAGAAAACAACTTTTCAGCTTCTCCAAAGATAAAGTAAGCGATATCGTACATTGTAAGTATTTACTTCTGCCTCCTGGGTTCCTCCCTAAATCTATCCTTGGTCCTGAATTCCTCTGGGGGATGGTGTAGATTTTTAAAATATACTGGCTAACTACTATGTCTTTGGAAATCTAAATTAGGAAAAGATATTTATGGTAACTTAAGCATAGTCCTGGGTAACTAGACAAAGTATTTCCTTAAAAAACTTTTCTAAATGATATACTCGTGGATTTAATCTTTATAGCTGCACTCTCAGAAGCTCACATCTGGAGAGTTTCCAAAGTTGTCACTAATGCAATAGAAAAAAAAATAGCGATGGGGAAATGTTGCTTGGTAATTGTAAGATGTGGAATAGGCACAGCTAATTTTTTTTTTTATATTGAAGAAATTCAGTAAATTAGAAATTTAAGTTAACCTGAAGACTATCAAGTTCATGAAGTACATTTCGATTGTGTAAATCAGTCCATTTCCATTTGGTGATGTTGATGGGATATTTTTTAAATGTCAGACAAAAACATGGTACCAGAACCAGGCATCCAGGTTGAATCCTGACCACATTATTTACTACCCATACTCCCCTTAGGAAAATTTCTTAATCTCTAATAATCTTGTCATTTGTTTCTCTGTCGAACTTTCATTGTACATAATGCCTAATTTATAGATCCAGTTAACATGTGATAGATTTCAAGACACTTGGTTGTGAAGAGAAGAAGGGGCGCAGGGCTATAGGCTTATGGGAACAGGCCCCACCTGAGACTTTCAGTGAATCTGACTTTTTATTTTATTCTAAAGTGATACGTGTATATGTAAAATCTAAACAGAAACTCATCTTCAACTCCTTCGCCTCATCCCACTCACAAGTCCTGCCAAATTTGTATATTTTGCTATAATACCTATTGTGTCAATCTTCTCCCAATTCTGGTTGATTCTACCATCCAAATAGGTTTATCAGCCTCACCTCTCCCTCTCTGCTGCCACTGCTCTTAGTTCAAAATCTCATTTTCTTTTACCCAAAATATAACAAAGATTTCCTAACATTTCTCCCTACATCCCGATGATCTGACTCCAGTCTGCCCTTTATCCTGCTAATGAAGCGGTTTGTAAAAAAAAAAAAAAAAAAAAAAAGGCTTTTTTAGCACTTTATCCAGTCCTCCGTCTAAATATCAACTCCAGAATTCTTTTTTTTTTTTTCAACGTTTTTTATTTTATTTTTGGGACAGAGAGAGACAGAGCATGAACGGGGGAGGGGCAGAGAGAGAGGGAGACACAGAATCGGAAGCAGGCTCCAGGCTCCGAGCCCTGCACTCCAGAATTCTTAACCTTTCATACAAAGCCCTCTCCCAGTCTGTCAGCCCCACTTTATTTCCTGCTTTTCTCTTTCATTCATTTAAGGCTTCAGCCATATCCCACTTGGCTGTTCCCACCCTGCTGCCTCAGGGCTCTGCAGCATGCTTGCTTCTGCCTTTAGTTCCCTCTCCTTGATGATCAATTGACAAACGTCTTTTCACCCTCAGTCTCAGACTTTCTGGAGTCTTTCGCACAGACTTCGGTGTTTGCTTCTCCACATTCCAGTTGCACCTGTGTGTCTCTTATCGGAACATGTATCCTGTTGTTTCAAAATTAACTGTTAGTTTGCTTCCTTAAGCAGGAGGCGGTGTCTTTTTGGCTTGTATCCTTGGTATCCCTAGTGTCTGGGACCTTGTAGTGTTTGTTCTGTGGTTATTTGTTGACACCTTGAAGGGAAGACATGTTACTATGAATCTAAAGTACCACAAAACTCAGACTAAAAACGTTATTGATGTCCTCATCACATTTAATTGCTTTATTTTTTGAGATCTTTGAGCACTTGGATATAACTTCCACTACTGAATTGAATGTAATGTGCTTTGTGTACTCAAAGGTTATACATGTATCTTTTCCTAGATTTTGAGTCCTTAAGAACAAAGGTTATTTGTTGAGTTCGTTTTTTTCTTTTTCCCAGGACATAGCACATATTAATGTACTTAAACACATGTTAAATGGGACATATAAAATAGTGTAACTATCAATTAGCCGATGGGATCAATGTGGTTAAGGACTATTATATCTTTTTTGAATTGTGCCAAACACATAGTAACTCGTCCATACATCTTAAATGAATGAGTCTTTATCAAACATAAATACGAAACAAATAACAAGTATTTTATCATTACAGAATTCCATGAAAGTGTTGAGTGAAAGAAAAAAAAAGCCCATCTTAGAGTGGATTAGTAAACACTTTATTTGTCTTATTGAAGATTCTACCCTGGGAGACAGGATTTCAGGTTGTTCTGAAGAACTGCTCCAAAGTTTGTCTGTCTATTTATTTATTTATTTATTTATTTATTTATTTATTTATTATTTTTTAAATTTTTTCTTAACGTTTATTTATTTTTTTTTAATTTTTTTTAACGTTTATTTATTTTAGAGACAGAGAGAGACAGAGCATGAACGGGGGAGGGGCAGAGAGAGAGGGAGACACAGAATCTGAAGCAGGCTCCAGGCTCTGAGCCACCAGCCCAGAGCCCGACGCGGGGCTAGAACTCACGGACTGTGAGATGGTGACCTGAGCTGAAGTCGGATGCTTAACGACTGAGCCACCCAGGCGCCCCAACGTTTATTTATTTTTGAGACACAGAGAGACAGAGCATGAGTGGGGGAGGGTCAGAGAGAGAGGGAGACACAGAATCTGAAACAGGCTCCAGGCTCTGAGCCGTCAGCACAGAGCCCAATGCAGGGCTCGAACCCCCAGACCGCGAGGTCATGACCTGAGCCGAAGTCCGAGGCTTAACCGACTGAGCCACCCAGGCGCCCCCAAAGTTTGTCAATTTATAGGGGATTGTATACAAAACGAGGGGAAGGGTACACATGCTCACAAGCAGTTCTCCAAGGTATAATTGCGTGTCACAAGGCAGACTTTGGTTGTAAAAATTAAGGTTTACTGATTTCCACACAGATGTGTGAAAGACCCCTTAGGTCATCTTAATACATTGTGTTTCTATCATATATGATTGTTCAAAAATACTGCCTGCATGCTTCTGCTTAACTGGTTTTCTGCTTCTTGTTTTTGTTTCTCCTTGAGATCATTTGAGAGCCAGAGAAGGCTGACATCAGTTACCCACTGCGGTTTTAATGCACAAAGGGTTTTATAACTTTAAAAGCGAGTGAAAAAAAAAAAAAAGTCGTCAGAGTCACAATTGATTGTGTATAGGTATCATCAATGTTAAGACTACCTAGCCTCTCCCAAAGCTGTTTTATCATTCTATTTTTGCTTTGACTTCTAAACCATTACGTTGTAATAAAGCTTGTCATGCTGTCTTTTACATTAGTATAAATCCATTTCACTTTGATATAGGCATAGTAATCTTAGTCTTTACGTCTTTATAACAAACAACAGGGCTCTCTACTACCCGGTTAAGCCTTTGCTTTATTGCTATACAATTCTTTTGGATGTTTTATGGGACTAGGGTAAAGGAACAGGGCAAATGAAAGACAACATCTTTTTTTTTTCAAAGAGCCTTTGAATGAATCATATTTTTTGTCAATGAGTTAGAGACTTTCAGACCAAAGCAATTTAGATCTAAATAATTTCTTCCAAAAATGATCTGAGACTTCAGGCGGTGGGTTTATTTTATTTATTTATTTATTTTTGGAAGACTGCTGCAGTACCATTTTCCAGTGATGATTAAATAAATTTATCCCTATAGAATTTGGTAAATTTGGTACCATACTAAATAATAGTCCATTTGCATTTTGCTTTAGACTCCTAAACTTCACTAATGATAGCACCCTGCTGGGGGTCAGTAACTTGGGGATTTGGAGGAGGAATTACCATGGGGAGTAAAAGGATTTTCAAAGCCTAGCAGAGATCTCTCTGCTGGAGGCCAACATTGCAACCCATGAGCCTGATTAGCCTCTTCTATTGCTCCTAACTCTTTTAGGCTCTTCACCTGATTTGCCCATCAGAATCATGTCACTTGGGAACTTAATCCTTCATTTAAGGTTGTGATTTTTCTTTTTTTTTTCTTCAAATTTTTATTTAAATTCTAGTTACATATAGTGTAATATTGGCTTCAGGAGTAGAATTTAGTGATTCATCACTTAAAACAGCCAGTGCATAACAGAACAAGTGCCCTCCTTAATACCCATCACCCATTTAGCCCATCCTTCACCCACCTCCCCTCTATCAACCCTCAGTTTGTTCTCAATAGCTAAGACTCTCTTATGGCTTGCTTTCTTCTCTCCCCCCCCCCCACCACTTCCCCTATGTTCATCTGTTTTGTTTTTCTAAATTCAACATATGAGTGAAATCATATGGTATTTGTCTTTCTCTGACTGACTTACTTTGCTTATCATAATACCCTCTAGCTCCATCCACATCACTGTAAATGGCAAGATTTGATTCTTTTTGATGGTTGAGTAATAGTCCATTGTATCTATATACCACATCTTTTTTATCCATTCATCAGTTGATGGGCACATTGGCTCTTTCCATAATTTGGCTATTCCTGATAATGCTGCTGTAAACATTAGGGTGCATGTGCCCCTTCAAATCAATATTTTTGTATACTTTGGGTAAATACCTAGTATACTAATGCAATTGCTGGTTCATAGTATAGTTCTATTTTTAACTTTTTGAGGAAACTCATACTGTTTTTCACAGCGGCTGCACCAGTTTGCATTGCATTCCCAATAGTATAAGACGGTTCCCCTCTCTCCACATCCTCATCGACACTGGTTGTTTCTTGTGTTGTAATCTTTAGCCATTCTGACAGGTGTGAGGTGGTAGCTTATTGTAGTTTTGAATTGTCATTCCCTGATGGTGAGTGATGTTGAGTATCTTTTCATGTGTTTGTTAGCTATCTGTATGTCTTCTTTGGAAAAAATGTCTACTCATGTCTTCTGCCCATTTCTTCACTGGATTTTTTTGGAGGGGTGTTGAGTTTGATAAGTTCTTTACAGATCTTTGATTCCAA